GAGGGGGGCAAAGGGGGAAAATCAGGACAACTGTAGCAGCATAATAAAATAGAATTTAAAAATAAATAAAATCTTCAAAAAAAGATTTTAAAAAAGAAAGAAAATGATGTGTATATAGACAATGAAATATTATCCAGCCCTAAAAAAAAAAGAAGGAAATCCTATCATATGCTACAGTATGGATGAACCTTGAGGACATTATGCTAAGTGAAATAAGCCAGTCACAAAGAGGTAAATACTGCATGATCCCATCCATACGAGTTTTCTAAAACAGTCAAACTCTTACAAACAGCAAGAAGACTGGTAGTTAGTTGCCAGGGCCTGGGGGAGGGGGGAGGGGGAGTTATCTAATAGCCACAGAGTTTCAGTTTTAGAAAACGAAACAGTGCTAGAGGTCTTTCGTTCAGCAATGTGCCTGTAGGTAACACTAACGTACCGTACGCTTACACATGGATAAGAGGGTAAGTTTTGTTTTTGACCAAAAAAAAAAAAGTCACAAGGAAAACGGCTGCTGTTGGAGTCCCCCTCTTTCTCCAGCCCCAGCATACAGCGGCTTATTGAATGGGTGGTGTGGTCATTGTGCAACACCTGAGAAGAACAGCTCTGCATGCAATGAACTAGAACAGGCTTCTCACAGCCCAAGTGAGCACAGACGCCCAGCCGGGCCTTCGCCGCTCCCTTTGCCACATCGCCCCTGTGATCCTCACTGAGGCTCCCGTCCCTAGAGATGGCCCCTTCCTGGGCAGCAGCACAGACCCCTCTGGAAACAAGCGCTCGGGCCCACGGAGGCCATCCCTCCATGGGGAGAGGAAGTGTTGTCACAGAAACAACCCGTGGCCGCAGGCGCCAGGCTCTCCGGGGCGTCGTGTGTTGTGCGCCATCAGACCACTGCCTCCCCTGTCTGGAATCTCGACCTCCGGCCACCCCGACGTCAGATGGACCAGATTCTCCCCTCCTTTCCAGAGGAAGGTGGTAAGCTTTCTGGCCTTCTGAGGCCGAGTTGTCCAACCAGGGCCAGGCCACTACAGCTGGAGGAACATAGAGGCTGGGAGAAGGTCCAGGGCAGCTCTTGACAGTGATTAAAGGACACAAAACCGAGACAAACAGCGGGGCTGGGGGCCCTCAGCAGGACCCACGGCGCTTTCCAGCCGGGAGGTCTCATGGCATGGGTGACAGCCTCCAGCTGCTGCGCCCCTCCCCTCGAGGGGCTGACAGGGGGTGATGAGTCACTTGTGCTGAGAAGGCAGGAGGAATGCGGATGACTGGCCTCCCACGGAGAAGGTTAACATGAAAGTGGGCTCCCCCAGGAGGGGACAGAGACATGACTCCTAGGTCCTTAAGAAGAACCTCTGTCCCCTGGGATAAAATGTACGCAAACCCGCTGCTTTACGGCGTGTGGCCCAGAGGGGGCCCTCAATAAATGGCGGCTAGCATTATTTTTCCCGTCTCGATCTTTTGCTTTCCTAACAAAAATCATCACCCAAGAAAAGCCAACGGCAAGGCAAGGCCTACTGTTTCCCTCAGTGAGGGGGCGGGGCACGAGGGACCATTCTGGGGTGTCGGCAGCAGGGACACAAGCGTACATGGATATGCAAAAGTCCACCAAGCTGTTCACGTGAAGTTGTGCATGTCAAGTACTGTGGTGTGACACCTCAGTGGAAAAGTGGAAGAAAAAGGGAAAAAATGGAAGAAAACACCAAGGCAGTTAGAAATCCCTTTTTTTGTTGTTGTTGTTGGCTTCAATAAAGCTTTGTGCAGCGCTGAAAAACCTCTGTGTGCCGTGCGATAAAATAGAGCAGCCAGCAGCCACAGACAGGCGCCAACCACTCGCAACGTGGCCAGGGCGCCTAAAGAACTGAGTTTTTAATTCGGATCGACTTAAACTTGAGTAACGACACGGGGCTGGCAGCTACCGTATTGGACGGCACAGCTCTAGGATATCACGAGTCTCAGGGGCGGAGACTCCCCAGGTGCATTTCAAAATACCTAATGGATCAGAAGACATCACATGTGTTTTGGGAGCCACATAGATGACTATTCAAAAATAACGTGCATTTCATAAAACACAGTATCATACAGGAATAAAGAGGAATGAACTACTGATACACACAGCATGGATTAATCTCAAAAGCGTTATTTTGAGTGAAAGGAGCCTTACAGGCTGTGGGATTCCATTTATGGAAAGTTCTAGAAGAAGCAAAAGTAACCCAGGGTGCCACAGTTCCCAGCGGCAGTTGCCTCAGGGTGGGAGGAGTGGACTAGAGAGGAACGTAAGAGGGTTTGTTGGAATGATGGGGGCAGGCTGTGTCCTGGTGGGCAGGGGCAGTGGGGGGGGGGGCGGTGTCACAGAGGTGCACACAATTGTCAAAACCCAAACCGTATTCTGAAGACCTGTGCATTTTATGGAAATTGCATTTCAACGTAAAAAGACAAGCACAAATATTTATGTCATGAACAAGATTTACAAAGTACTTTTCCCCGTACATTTTATCGATCGTGTTTCAATAGCCACATCTCTGCACCCTGGGACAGACATTATTAACGTCTGACCGATGAAGAAATTAAAAAGGTTAGTCATCTGTCCAAACAGTACTCCAGAACAGGCAACCTCAGAGCCATGCCCTTGTCACCGCTGCCACCCAGATTTCCTAAGAGATCAAAGTCACTTCCTTGTCAGGGTGCCACCCCCTCCCCGCAGCACCCCCAGGAGGCCTTACCAGCACCCGGCCGTCGGCCTTGGGCTGCCGGGCCAGGCTCACCCCCATCCACTCATCATCCCGGTCTTCGCGGCAGGTTTTTCCGCAGGACATTCCCCGAGTCTTCCCTGGAGGGAAAAGAGAGGGGAAAAAAGTCATGCATTAAGGAACAATGTTCTTCTGGCTGCTCTGCCAAGGGTGGTCTACAGCCCGAGTGTTCAGAACCGGCTCCGGAGGAAACAAAGCGTGCAATCAACCCCATCGCTATGTACGCTGTTTAATTCAGCCGCTACTTCTTTCCTAGCAAGACTTTCTCGATGAAGGCAGCCATGCATTGGCTTATGCTCTGAAATGAGCTCCCTGGATCTGTTATGCATCGGCAATGCACAGGCCGCCCACCAGTCCTTAGGGGGAGCGCTCGAGAACACCATGGATGCCTCTCCTTTTCTAAGGAAAATCACGACAACAGTTCATCTAAAAATAGTAATAATTAGATGTCCCTGATGGGACTTTGGAGAAAGGGAGGAGCTGAAGTGATGCTGAGAAAGTAACTCCTGCTTACTGAGTGCCTACTCCATGCCCAGCACAAGTCTGTGTATTCACCTCTATTTATCCCACTCAACCTTCTCTCAAGGGCCTGCTGTGAGGTAGGTGTCTTCGTCCTGCTGCTACAGGAGGAGACTGAGGACAAAGAGGCTGTGGGACATTCCCAACAAGTCCCACTAGGAACTGGCAGAGCTGGGCTCTGAACCCAGGAAGACCATCTGATGCCAAAGATGACGTATTGTCCACGGGATCAAAGTGAGCTTTTTAACACACCCATTGGTCAAATCTTTCCCTACTGAAAATTTAAAGCCTAAAACTGATTGAGTGGCCTCCCCCTTCACACACAGAGGAAAATCCTCACACCCTTCCCCAGCCTGCTGGGCCCCATGTGATGATCAGCAACCCCAACCGACCTTGCCAAGCTCCTCTGCCTCCACGCTCTCCTGCCCACCACTCCAGCCACTGCGCTCTCGCTTTGTACTTGACCATGGCACATGCGCTCCTCTGCTTGGAGGTTCTGCCTCCCTACCTGCCAGCTAACTACTGTGCATCTTTCCAACATGTGCAGATCAAATACCCACCTTCCACTGGTCTTCATGCTCTCGAGTATTTGTTTTTTAATGTCTCTTTTGCCCGCTAATTTGTGAGGACGGCAAGATCTTTGTTTTATTCACCAGTATAGTCTGGTGCTTAGTAAGTAATAGGTACTCACTGCATGATGGATGGGTAAAAGAGAGGGAGGGTGGCAGGGAGGGAGGGAGGCCAGGCCACCCTGAGGAGAAAGAGGCAAGCGTGAGGGTCCAGAGTCCATGTGTACTTCGGCAGGGTCGTCCACCCACCTCGAGCCATGTCCAGTTCGGTGCATCTCCGGTCAGGGTTGGTGTGGATGCGGCACTTAAACACAGCCCCGGGGGACCTCACCGACGTGCTGTACTTGGAGTCTGCCTTCGGTGCGCCCACGAGGACCCTGCACGGCAAGAAGAAAGGGCATCCGTCACAACCTAGTACCCGGAGAGGGGAGGCTGATGGTTCACTCCTCACCCAGCCACGGGCGGGCTGCCCGAGTTCACTGGGAAACCTGCCCCAGCATTACCCTGCACTGGGGGGCCAAGGGGGAGGGGCTCCGACAGCGAACCTGTCGGATTCTCTCCAGACAGACGTAAAGCTTAAGTTTGTTGGAAACACACACCACCAACCAACAGTGCTTATCCAGAATCTATACGGAACTCCTACAAATCAATAAGGAAAATACAGGTAATCAATATCATAACAGGCCAAAGACTTCAATGGGTACTCGATGAAAGACCCATAACCAAATGGCCAGTAAACATAAGAAAAGGTGCTCAACTATATTCGTTATCAGAGAAACACAAGTGGCATACCACTTCACGCCGACCAGAAGGCGGAAACCAAAAAGACTGGAAATGCCAAGCGCCAGCAAGGACACGGAGCAACGCAAACCCCCATGACACGGCTGGTGGGCGTGTAACCCGTCACCACCACACCGGTGACCCACTCAGCAGTTTCTAATGAAACTGAACATGTGTTCACCCCACGATCTAGTCATTCCACTTCCAGGAACACACTCCACAGAAATGCATACGCGTGCCTCCCAGGTGACAAGCACACATATGTTCACGACTGAATATGCAATGGCCGAAAATGAAGAAAACCGGAGGTCCCCCAATGCGAGAATGGATACGTACATTTTGGCATAGAAATACGATAGGATTCTATACAGCAATGAAAACCAGTGAATATCGTTCAGCCGGAACCACATGGAGGAGCTCATTCATGAAACACTGAGCAAGAGATGTCAGGGAGCCCTGGCTGGCGTAGCTCAGTGGGTTCAACGCGGGCTGCGAACCAAAGCATCGCAGGTTCGAATCCCAGTCAGGGCACATGCCTGGGTTGCAGGCCACGGCCCCCAGCAACCTCACATTGCTTTCCCTCCCTCTCCCTCCCTCCCTCTCTCTCTCTCTCTCTCTCTCTCTCTCCCTCCTCCCCCTTCCCTCTCTAAAAAATAAATAAATAAAATCTTCTTAAAAAAAAGAGAGATGCCAGGGACAATAGTGTACTCACTGTCTGATTCCGTTGATCTGAAGTTCAAAGCAGCCGAAGTGTAACTGTGGGGTTAGAGGTCAGGATACTGGTTACCTCAGGGAAGGGTCAGGGGGGTTGTGGTTAGGGAGACAGGGCTTCCTGTGTACTTATCATGTCCATTTCAGCCCGAGCAGTGTTCACACAAATTTGGGGTAAACTCATCAGGTTATCATTCATATGATATGGGCACTCTCCGGGTGTTATACGGCTTAAAAAATAATGAAGAGAATAAATGAGAAATTCAGAGGTACCGTTTCTCTTCTGTGATCCTCTCTTCCTCCCCACTGCACATAAGATGAGCATTCGAGGGGACCCGGGAAAGACGCAGCCGTGGAGGAGAATTATAAACACCTCCTCTAGCACGACGCAAACCAGAGATGGAATCGTTCACGCACACACTGGGCAAGGGATGAAGCTCTCCGTCCTTCCTCTTGAACCGGAGATGTGCCCTGGGGAGGGGCCGACCCCAGCAGGGCCCTTGCCTCCTGGGGGAATGGACAAGACATGCCAAGAAGAAAGAAAAGACACATTTGGGCACAGAGCATGGGGGGACCAGCAGAGACTTCCCCTCCAGATGTTACAAAAACAACTGTGACCTACGGCGTTACGCATTGTTCCCGGAAAGCAGTCGAGTGGAGAGCTCTGGCGAGGAATACTAAACGGCACCAGGCAGGCGCAGCGTGTGCCGAGCTACGAGCCACTTGGAAAAGAACTTGCATGATGCGACTTTAAACAAAACCCATGCTGATGTTCAACGCGTAGAAAATTCTAAGCTGCTGCTCGGTGGGAACATGAGCTGCTCTGGACCTCTCACAGCCTGGAAAGGGGGTGCAAGTCCCCTCGAAAAGTATTAGGCACGTTATGAAATGGATCATCTCCACTTGCCCGGGGACAGAAAGCATTATCTACTAGGTATCTGTGGGAAAGGTACTAGTAGAGGTTAGAATGACCCCAGACGGGCCCCCTGGGGATGTGGAAAGTGGACCCAGGCTCCCCTCCTCAGGTTGTCCTGGAAGCCACCTTCACCTTGAGATGTTGGACACTCGCCCTTCACCCCTACCCTGGCCTCAGAATGACGCTAGTCCCCCACCAGCACTCTGGAGGAGTAACAGACGTCGGAGACCCTCAGACGGGCCTTCCAAAGAGGCTGGTGGATGTCACAAATGACACCCCCATTACTAAGACTCAGACACATGTTACCAGGTACACAGGAAGGCAGTGGGTCCCATCTTAATTGCCATGGCCCCAGCCCCTCAACACCCAGAAGGTAAAGGATCCCTGAGGATACAAGGAGCCAGTAGACTCACCCCTTCCTGGAGTTTCCTTGGGGATCAGTCTTGCAGATTCTATATTTGATTCTGCAAGGAATCAAGTCACACGCTGCTGGGGTGTGGAGGAGCCAGGACCCCAACAGCGAGGGCACCCAAGCTGCCCCTCAGCCCCTCAGGAACACCCTGGGGAGCCGGCCCTGCAGCCTCACCACGGCGGGCCGAAGCCGGGCTGGACCCCACAGCCTTCAGGAATCATCCCAAGCACTTTCCCCAACAGACCACACCGCCCCGTTTCCCACACAAGGGCAGTCTGGCCGGCCCTCGGCTGCTCTAACTCAAATGCAAGATGACACACCACGAGAAACTCCCGTGAGAAGAAAGCCATGTCTAGGGATCAATTCCCCCACCCCACCCCCGGCCCTGGCTTCTGGGGCTGAGCTTTAGAGCCACCAGGGCGAGCCAAGGGCTGCTCTCTCTAAGGCCAGCTATGTTTTCACAGGTGAGAAGAATTAGCAATTGGACAGACTTCACCAGCTGAGACACCCACGTCTTTCCACGTGTCGGCCTGTCAGACCCGGGCAACCTACAACGCCTCCTCCACTCAAACACCCCGGTGGGATGAGGCTGGGCCCCCAAATTCCCACCGACTCCAAATCTGCATTAGCACAGTGAACAAATGCCACTGGCAATTCCTTGAGGAGGCATGACCGAAGTTGAACAGAGGGCAGAGTTGATCTCACACAACAGCTGGCTGTGCGTCTCGCCATCGCGTCTCCCGAAACGGCGCTGGAACCCTGGACGTTTCAGACGGTGCTTTTGCTCCACGTTCACAGACCCGGAGTCACAGGTCACCCAAGCGAGAAGGGACCCTGGAGAGGCTGGATCTTGGGCTCTGCTTCTCGCAGCCTCGAGCGGAGACCGAGAGAGACAAGATCTACAGGGAACTCTAATGTGGAGAAAGGACCGGCCGAGTTCTTTTCACCTTCCAAGCCCAGGACACTCCAAGCTCTAACAATGGCTGGTCAAGCAGTGATATTGACCCTCTGCTTCACACCGTAATCAGCTGGGCAGATAAGGAAGCTTTTCCCCAAACCCTGTGTAATGGGAAATGAAGCAAGAGATCCGGGCGGAGGGGGTGGAGGGGGCGGGGGCACACGCACGGGCACGTGTGCGCGCAGCCCGCAGGGGTGGCAGGGCGGAGGATGCGCTCGTATCTCTGTGTTTACAGAACACCGTGGCTTCTTCCTCCGCTGCCTGGCGCTGCTCTTTACCTAGGCCGCCGGCCAGCGAGTCTGCGGCTGCAGGCCAGCCGATGAGCTTGTCTTTTCTGAAGTTAGTTCAGCTGGCCATCCGCCAGGCTGATCCCAAGAGGTAGAGAGAGCACAATGGCCCAGGGTCCCGGACAAGCCACTGAAAAGATGCCATCTGCTTTTCCTCATTATTCTCAGTCATGAAGAGACATCCCAGACACCTCCAACATCCCCCACACTCTTCCCTGGTCCTCCTGACGAGACAATAAGACGCTTCTTTCCTCTGTGCAGTTACCATATAAAAGAGCCTGCGAGTCCCCCCACCCTCCCCCCCCCCACCAGACCCCCCCCCCACAGTAAGTCATCAGGCTGATTCCGACTTTTGCTCGCTACTGCAAGTGTGGTCCTCAGCCCAGCAGCGCGGAGAACACCTGGGAGCCTGGCGAATGCAGAGTCTCGGGCCGCACCCCCAGCCCACTAAAGCAGTACCTGCATTTTAACAAGCTCTCTACGTGATGTACAGTCTAAGAGGTGCTATGTCACCACCCACACAGGTGACCAATAACCACGTTCCTTTGGAGCTGGTTGGAGCAGATGACCCTTGAGAAGTGAGACTTTCCTCCCAGGACATCCCCAGGTAGAGACACTCTCCAGCTTCAAAGACATGTTAGAGTCCTCTCATTAACTCGGAATTCTAGATTTCTGATTACGAGGGCAGCCAGCACGGATCAGGCACTTGGGGTGTGCAAGTGTTGGGCCAGGCTCCCGATGGTGGAGTCACACTGAATCTTCACAGCAGCCCTGTGGGGCGCACTAACACTCTCCCCATTTTACAGATGGAGACGCAGGTGGCCAGAGGTGGTCCCGGGGCGTGTCCGAGCCCACAAAGCCTGGTAAGATGCCGAGATACAGCACGCACCCCAGCAGTCACCTGCAACGCCCACTCCCCGATTCTGCCCGTTCCACGCCAGCCAGGAGGAGGAAAGGGGAACCACCAGGGATCAAGTGCCCCCAACGGTGCCAGCGGCTCACACATGTGGCCTGCCTGAAAACGCCCAGGTGAGGCTCCGAGGGTGGCTCCCAGTCAGCACTTGGATGTGGGAGCCCCTTTGCCAAAGGACAGACTGGGCTTTGCAACAGAAAGGTGGCTGCCCCCTCCCCATCAGGCTGAACTTCCATCACCTTCTTGCTTTTCTAAAACACACTGCTGGTGTGGTGTGGCCCAGAGACTCACCCCTCATAATGAGTGGTTCATGCACCTAATTAAACATGTGGGCCCATCAATGCATCTGCCAGTGCCAGTTATGCTCACGGGTCATCTGATTTCCTGCTCACGGCAATCCTGCCAGGCAGCCTGTGGTGTGCGTTTTCCTCAGAGATGGCAGGTTACTTGGCTGATAAGTGGCAGAGCTGGATTCGAGCCCGGGGGGTCGGTGTCCAAGGGCATGGCCTTTCCAGTCCCCCCCGACTCCCTCCTACTGCAGCAGCTGAGATGCCCTCCGTTTTTCCAACACAGCCGCTTCCGTGACCGGCCTGCGTGTGGTCCAGCTGGCTACAGAGGCTCAGCCCAGCTGCCCGTCCCGCTTGGAACCTACCCCTCACATCCTGAGGGCAAACTGCGGGTCAGTCCCCTGGGGAGCAGGTGGCAGAGAGGGGCTGGGCCGCAGCCGCCCTCTGGGGAAGGCTCTGAGTGGACAGCGTCTCAGAAGCTCCCTCCCTCCCCACAGAGGCCACGGCTGTGCTTCTGCGGGCAAAACCACAGCCAGACCCAGGACAGCAACTGGGGACTCAAAACCTTAAACCCATTAGGTTTGCTTTCAGGCATTTGATCCCGAAGCCAAAGCTTCCCCAGAGACCCATGGGGCAGTTACAGGAGTGGAATTCAATCACTGCGTGTTCGCCGCACCACATGGAAACCCCAGGAATCGCTCCACGGCCCTAAAGTGACCAACAATAGCCAAGACTTGAGCAAAAGAGAGCCACCTCTGACCAAGCCAAACCGGCCACTTCCAGAGTGAGGAGACGCCGCAGGGCATTGCTTGCTGGCCGGAGGTGTGGAGCCTGAAAAACCGCGGAGGCAACTCTCTCTGCCTGCTGGGAAACTGAGACTCTGGGTGTCAAAGTGAGTGTTTTAAACCAGTGGTGCCGCCTGAATGCTAAGCTTCAAGGGCAAGTTATTCAAGGTGGTGGAGTGTAAAGAGCACAGGGTTTAAATCCTGCCTCGACCACCGATAAGCTGTGTGACTTCAGACAAGTTTCTTAACCACTCTGAGGCTCCATTTTCTTCCTTTGTAAAACAGAAGAAAAACGTACCTCATAAGCGTTCTTATATGGTGTAAGCAAGATAAAGTCTATAAAGCACCGAGCATGGCGCTCGGCAGAAAGTAGGTGCTCAAAGAAGTGTTAGAAGGCTGGGCATCGGGCCAAAAGCCCTGGCATCCGACTCGTCCCAGCTCCGCCACTTGGCAGCACCCCAGGGGCTCACAGATCTTCAGAACCTCAGTCCCTCTGCTGACGTGTGGGCAGAAATTTATTCAGACTGTCGGCTGAGGCTGCAGAAATCCAGGAACAGCTAAGGCACTTCCACCACTGATAGATCGCGGAGGCAGCCGCAATTCTCCACCTTCCTGTGTCCATGCCCTTTCCAGTGTGACGTCACAGCTCCTTCCATCAAGACATGGGGTCTGGCTCCCCTCCTCCTGAAGGTGGGCTGGCCCTGTCCCTTGCATTGGCCAACAGAATGTGACAGAAGGAACAGCCTAGGCTTCAAGGGACCAAGCATCCTCTGACTGCACCCCTGGCACCCTGCCCAGCCAGCACGTGCACAAGCCCAGACTGCTGGAGGAGGAAAACACACAGGGAGCACCCTGAGCCAGGCCAGCTGCAGCCATCCTAGACCGACCAACCAGCCAACCAGCCAGCCAGCCAGCCAACTGACCAACCAGCCAGCCAACCAACCAGCCAGCCAGTCAGTCAATCAGTCAGTCAGTCAGAGAGC